AATCCTAAGCCCTTCAACCCTAAACCCCCCCACCCCAATAGAAACTCTAAACCCTAAACCCTAAACCCTAAACCCTAAACCCTAAACCCTAAACGGCCTAAAACCCCTCAAAAACCCCCAAAACCCCCCCGAGCCTCGCCCATCTCCCCCAACTGTGGGCCGCGGGGTCGCTCCTCACCATCCAGTTGAAGGCACAGAACGGTTTAGGGTTTAGGGTTTAGGGTTTAGGGTTTAGGGTTTAGGGTTTAGGGTTTAGGGTTTAGGGTTTAGGGTTTAGGGTTTAGGGTTTAGTTATAAATAGGGTTATCAGTAGGGTAACTATACTTAGAACCCATGTTAGAGGACTTATAACCCCACTTATGACTACCCATGAACCTCCAAGTAGGGATTGGTTTTTTGTTGCGGGTTTAGTGTAGGCCTTAGTAATTAGAATAGGGTTTTGGGGGTTCCTAAAATAATTATAGTATAATATACCGCCCCAAACCCTATTCTAATTATTAAGGCCCCCCCTATATTAGGCTTCAGAGTGCAGGGCTTTTGGGTCCAGGGTGGGGTTCAGAGCTGAGCAAGCTGAGACCACGGCCATCTCTCTGTTCGTCACACCTCGGCCAAATCCACACCGTCTCAAATCAAGATCCGCAGACTTTCGGCACTTGGACGTTCACGAGTAGTTATACATGAAACTAACCCATTGTAGGGAACTGATAACCCCACTTATAACTACCCCTAAACCCTAACCCTATAGAACCCTTTAAAGAAACCCTTAAACCCTAAACCCTCCAACCCCAAACCCTAAACCCTAAACCCTAAACCCATGAACCTCAATGCTTTAAAATGGACCACAAGCAATGCTTACATCGAGGCTGGGACAGAGCCGGCAAGGGGCCCCCAGTGACTTGCAAACAAAGCTCTCTAAGTTGAGCCGACACAGCACGGTTTAGGGTTTAGGGTTTAGGGTTAGTCAGAGAAGGAAAAACAAACAGATCGGCAGAAGGAGAGCGAGAGACAGGAAGTAAGGCGAGCGAGAGACATGTAGCGAGGCGAGCAAGAGGTTGACGGATGCAGATCTGCGACTAGACGAGCGTAGGGAAATGCAGACATAGCTCACGGATTGCCTTTTGATGCAGCCGATGATGACTAATGTTCGCTCGGCTCAGTCAAACGTCGCACGGATGTTGGCGGCTGTTTCACTGGATTCGGAAAGAGGTACGACGCGGAAGCGTTCCCAGGTCCATCCGGAGGGCAGGTCCTGAATCGCCATGTGGCTGCTGCTGTCCATGTTGTGGGAGGACATGCGAATCAGGCGATTGTGATGGGTGTTGTGGAACACAAACTGGCCGTGGTCGGCGGGCACCACCGTGAAGCGCTCCCACTGCCATCCGCTCTGGAAATCCGACACGCCATGGGGATCGGAGCTTCCCATCGTTGCACCCCTCATTTGAATGAAGCGGTTGTGGGCCGCGTTGTGGAACGCGACCTGGCCATTTCCGGCGTCCACCACGGTGAAGCGCTCCCAAACCCAATTGGAAGGCAAGTCGTTGAGGTTCCTCACCTCGCTCCGCCGGAGCTCAGCCCCGTTCATCGTGACGTAGCGGTTGTGGATGCCACAGTGCAGGGCCACCACGGTGCCGGGCTGCAAGTAGGGCCTCACGGGCACAATCTGGAAACGCTCCCATGTCCAACCGCCCGGCAAGTCCTGCGGGTTCATGTGGCTACTGGCGTCCGCCTTGTCAGTCGTCATCCTGATCATGCGGTTGTGCGCAGAGTTGTGGAACACGAAGTTGCCGTCACCCCCCCCGGACTACCACCTCAACGCG